CAGTGTTCAAAAAATGCTGGGAAATCTCTTCATGTAGCCCTGCAAGAGTGATTACTGATAAACTGTCTGAAAAAAAAGAAAGTCACGTACAGAGAAGAAAAAAAAAATCACCTACTGACTTTCAAAGCTACTACACAGTAACGATTTCTACTTCGAGGACCTTGATAGAAATGTAGTGGAGTGAAAAGTACAATATTTGTCTTTCAAATGTAGTGAAGTTAAAGTCATAAGTTCCCAGAAAAAATAATACTCAAGTAAAGTACAGATACTCAAAAAGTGTACTTAAGTACAATACTCAAGTAAATGTACTTAGTTACTGTCTGCCTCTGGATATACATTGTCAAACTGCTGAAACTGGAACCACATACCAACATACTATTCTTACTTTTTCTGCTATATAAATGTATGGTTGGAGTAGCAAGAGTAGTATGCAGTTGCAAATTCAGCTAGTTTCTTTTTTTCCATTTATATGCTAACCAATTAACCAGTTATACCGGCTTTACATACTACTTGCCTATTAGTCTGCCATCTTACTTGCTGCCAAGTTACATACACACCATTATGCCATGTTGGTGTATAAATAGTGTGAGTAGCCTGTTCACACTGAAAATTAAAAAAAAAAAGTGCTCTTTAAATACCCAAATATCTATTTTTTGAATGTTGGACACTTCATGCAATTAACAGTTGTAGCCTTAATTACTTAGCAGAGTACTGATGGAGGATGACATAGGTAAATAACTATAAAATTCACACACTACACAGTAGATCACATGCGCGTAGTTTAAGTGCACAGTGTAGGCATTTGTGACATTGGCCAACTATATGGTTTACCAGTTAGCCTGTAGCTTAGCTACCACAGCTACAAAAGTCCCATTTTGGTTATCTACACGGGATATAATTGGAGGGGGGGGGGGGAATACATATTTTGAAAACAGCTGTACTGCTGTCATGCTAATAAAAAATTCAGCTAAGTTAGAATAATGGTGCTACTTTTTGCCAGTTACGCCCCTAAACTAATCAAATGTCATGCAATTCATATGCTCATATTAACACTCAGGCATTGGCCTTTATTTCACCTTGCATCACATTCAGAAGTTCTTCATCAGCGTGACAGCTGTGCTCTTCGCTAGCAGGAGCACTTAGCAAACAGTTATATAGTCTTTTCCAATGGGGAAATTGGCCATACAGAAGCTATTTTTGTGCAGTGCACTGATAAATTGTGCAGTCTTCAGAGAAGCCAGATGTTTTCTTATTCCTTTTTTGTTGGTCTATTCTGTGCTCCAGCCTACAAATATCTCTGCCTTTCTTTTCTGTTTGCCTTGTGATGCACTAAAAATGCTGAGCTGCTATGTAGTAAGGCATCTGACATTCTTTCAAGAAAGAAACCCCGAGGAGGGGGAGACGAAACCCTGCTCACTCACAGGTTATACAAACATCACCGAAGACTCACTCTTGCAGATACACACACACACATATATACTCACAGCACCTTGTTCCACGTGTAGCCACATGTGAGAGGCAGGCATCCAATTCAGATTACGTGGCTTTAGTCACGCAGATTGTTAATAAATCTTTGGTTTTCTTCACGTATACACGCACAAAAAAAAAAACTGAACAGGCCTTCTTTTTTGTCAGTTGCAAGATATACATTAATTATTTCCATTGGCTTAGCAGAAACAGCAAATGTCAGCATATGCAGATCACACCCATGTTTTTTTTCACTATTTGCCTCCAATTTTTCACATGCCATTGTAAACGCACTGACAGGTGGCTGGGTCTAAAAATTATGCTCAAACTAGTGAATCCCTATATGCATAAAACCTCACACTGAGCTTTCAAAGCTGTAGCAGAGAAACATGCATTTAAAACGGCTCTTCTGGCAGCGCTGTAGTTCTCATATGTTAGTCATATCAAGAGTGAGTGGGTCACTGTCAGTTGAGAGGTGAAAACAATGAGAATCTAACCAACGCTGACCTAAATTTCTTGTCTAGAAATCAATAAACTGAGGCAAAGGGCATTTTGACTTTGGCTCATTTGCGTGTTTTCGCTTTCATTTTGTTTGATTTTGTTTAGATTTAAGCACCTAGATCTTTTCCAACACACTGAAAATGGCCTCACAGTCTTTCTGAAAAATAAAAGAAAATACAGTGCACATTTCTCAAATTCATTCACATCTGGTCTAGGCTGGAAGCATTTATGTGAATAATTTGGTTTACACAGATCTAAATTGAGTGTCAAATGTAAGTGTTACCATAGTGATATTAGTAATATGGTCTATTTTAAGTCTGCATAAAGAACTTAAGGTTAAGATTGATTATACAGCACAAAAACAAAGAAACTGTGGGAAAAGAACTTCTTAAACTTGAAATTAGCATTTATTTGAACAAGGATCTTTCCAAATTACAAGTCTTTCTTTTTCATTTCACAAAATATTTACAACAGAAAATCCCTCCATTTTATCCCAAGAATTCAGTTAGTTTCATAACGTTCATTGGTCACGGTTTCTCTTAAGTAGATCTAAAAAAATAATAATAATAAAACGAAACCAAAAACTTCATTCCCTGTTTCAAAAGTCATTTTATAACTGCTAGCAGTTTTATTATTTTTCTACGAGTGCTCATAAACTCTTTTCCACGCACTCAGTAACAAACAGGAAGCCAGAGGCTCTGTTGCTTGGAGCCGGAAACGGCATGAAACACAAGGAAGAACAATTACATCATTGACAGTAAATGCAGAGGCATCAAGTGCACCATGACACTCTGAACACAGGCCATTTCGTCTTCGGCTGACACGTTTGTGCTGAAGCCGCCGTTGAGTCAGATATAATGAGAGGCCATGGGTAAACGAAAGAATGCGAAACCAATGCATCCTGCATTTAACATACAGGATGTAAAGGGGAGCGTCTCTGTGGCTTTGAAGGGCGTGAGAGAGACACAGCGCCGTCTGGATGGGGTCCAGATTGAAGGTTGTGGGTGGAGGCGCATTCTCGGTTACTTTGGAAGCCTAAGGAGAGGACTGCGAACCAAGGTGAAGGGCATTTCCATTAAAAAGCTGCATTCAGTAGGGAAGGTCAAGCGAACAATGGCGGCGATGACAATGCTGTGCTGTTCCAGTTTCCGGGTTGGTTTAAAACGGTTCAAATTAACATGTGTTTGTGCTATTTGTGACGAATCAAAAGACCACAGACTCCAATTTAAACCAAATGAAAGCTGAAATATGGAAGGCTGGTAAACTATACAGAGTTTTTGCACATGGGTGTTCTAACAAACGACAACCATGTGAAGTTAATAAAACGTTGTGGGCTACAATTCTCTCAACAGTAAATCGCCTTAAGTTTCATTAAGAGCTGACTTAATGGTTTTACTGCTGACTTCCATCGTTTCGCCTGATGAGTCAACGGTAATTGCAAAATTTGGGTCTTACAAAGAAAGTGCAACATTATTGATGATTTGACAAACGACAGTGTCCTCCGTCATTTCTGCATCTCTTGCAAACATTGAGTGTTATTTTTAGAAGAGCAACTTGCGTTCATGGTACATAATCACAACACCATTAGTGCCTAAATAATGTGCAAAGCTATGCTTGACTCTGTGATATTAACTTTCTTTTTCACTGCTCTCGGACTTCAGCAATTCATTCTAAATGATTGATAAGGTCTGCGTATAAAAATGCCCCACATGCATCTCTTTAAGACATCTCTCAGCGGAAAAGGACGCCCCATCTGCTGACTGGCAGCAGTCACTGGAGCAGGGGTTAACTGGTGACGTAATGTTTGGTGGAAGACTGGCCGTAGAGGCTGTAGAAGTCAGTGTGCCTGTGCGACTGAGAGGCGTCGATCCAGTCGTGCATGGACAGGCTCTGGAGAGACTGGGACATGGCTGGGGCCGAGGGCAGAGGGGCGTGGGAGTACTCCTGCGAGCTCACCGGCCAGGGGAAAGAGCTGGAGCGAGGGTAGGGCGGATGTCCGCGGTGGTTGGACACGGAGGGTACCCCTGAGCAGTAACAGTTGTCGACTGTGCACATCAGGATCTTCCGCGCTCCGTACTGGGGCAGCTGGGAGGAGCTGCCGTTTGGGTAATGGGAGTGCGGGAACACCGAGGCAGAGTGCGGTAAGGGTTGAGAGCCGGAGGCTGAGCTGCTGCTTCCTACATGCTGGGTGGAGCCACACGGCCCTAGAGCTTGCTGGGAGGACTGACCTACGCCTGGGGCAGAGCCCTGAGTGAGACTCAGGCATGGCTGCTTGGTAGCCGCAGGGCCTGATGAGGAGGAAGAGTCCACGAAGCTAGCGCCAGCTCGGCTGCTGCCGCTGCCTTCGGGGAACGCCACGGAGTGTCTGCGCTTCTCGCACAGGTACGCCGGAATACTCTGGAAAAAGTTTGCGGGAGCACAGAACGGAGCTGGAAATGAGAAGGATGATAAAATAATTACAGAAATGGTTAATTATTTAAAAAAGAGCAGTTGGATACAACTTCAGAAGGTTTTATATAATTAATACCTGAACATATGTATTTTTTTCATGCATACCTTCCAGCATCTTGCAGAGGTTCTTCTCTCTTTTAGAGATTTCAGACAGAAAGAGTTTGGAGTTGAGGCTGCCCACTTTGTACGATGACAATGTGCTGCCCACATACGACTGAGACCTAGAGTCCAAAAAATGAACCATGCAAGTTAATGTTTATACTTAACACAATGACAGGACAGGAATGATGACTAATTAACCTTATGATAATGATTCATGTATGAAAACTCTGCAGTGACTCACCTGTCCATTAGTATTTTCACAGATTTTGTGTTCTAAAAAGAAAAAAAAAGATATTATATATTTCAATAACAGGGTTCCTGCACATAAAATACATTTAATTAAAAAAAAGATAAAGATAAAACAACAACAATAAAAACAGAGTAACTATGTAAATGTAAAAGAATAAGCCTGCACTGTATTTTCACACAGGAATTTTCTTCCCATTGTTTCTAAACAATTTATAAAAGGTAAAATTTAAAAATGCTATTATAATAGTAAATTTTACTAGACAAGATGCAAATAATGTATTATATTATTCTAATTATACTTCTAGTATGTCATTAAAATATACTAACATGTTCTTATATTGCATTATATTATATTATAATTAGAGTGCCTATAGTATCTGTCATTATTTGCACTTTGTAAAAAAGACTCTCTGGGATAAAATACTATATATGGAAATTGTCTGTGTATCAGCATCAGAACTAAGCTTTATAGTGGTAATGAAAAATGACAAATATAGATACAGACAGCATGCAGGCCCCGCCCACCAGTGTTGTGTGTGGGTTTTTGCAAAACAAAGTTGTTGTGTGGGTTTTGGCACTTCAAATAAAGCAAAACAATTCCAGAACTGATTTTTTTTTTGCAAGTCAACTGAATGCAAGAAGCTAAAATAAGACTGCAATGAACAAGCAATTCAAGGACAAGATGATGATAAACGCATGTGGAACATGCATGCCTGCAGCAGACTGACAGCTTCATTAGAATAACAAAGGAGTTTCTTTGGGGAAAAAAAAGCTACATTTATAGCATCTCTTTGTTTTAGTATCTCTATTGGTTTATAGTATCTCTCCCTCCCCTATAGAATTAGTAATTATGCTAACCGGTATTTGTTCCCCCCTTACTAAACATTTCATGAACATGAATATTTCTAAAATCACATAGTTTAGCTCAGTACTAACAAATAGCTGAATCTGACTTGATATCCATAAATCTAAACAACAAACCCCAACCTAAAAAATTATATTCATACTTAATATATCCTGGATTCCAGAGAGGTGAGCGGTGTATCCAGCACATGAAAAATGGATGCCTAATATACATGGGGCCAAAAATAATCATTTTCTGGCATCTTTGTGTACTATTACACTGTTATAGTTCGCAATAAATCTGAGTTCACTCATAACAGCCTGGCAGAAAAATACTCTTCATCATCCTCACCATGACAAAAGGCAAAGGGACTTTAAAACACGGCTAAATGTCACCATTTATAACAAACACAGGCTGTGTAGTATTGACAACAGCAATAAAAGTCAGGTCACCTTCATAAAACCGATGTCCTCTGCCTTATCGAAAACCATCTGGATGGAGCTGAGCAGTTTCTTAGCCTCTTGCTGTTTCTGGTGAAGCTGCAGGGCCTGCGCCGAGTTCTCCTGGCAGAACTTGGAATGGGCCTTATCCAGGACCTCCAGGGTCTTCCCAAGATCCTCCTCCAAGAGCTGCTGCATTTTCTGATACTGCAGCTGCACCTCCTCCTTCAGGTGCTGCACTTTGTCCTGAGGATGAGCACAAAACCATAACTTATTATGCAAGTCTTGTTCTGTCTTAACAATGGGGGCTAAGCAGAGACTGCATCTGATATGGATGATTGGGAAGAGCCACTGAGGAACTGGATTTGTTATGGTACAAGAACTAGGCATAACCTTTATCTCAAACCTGTACGAATGTACTAATGTGGTCATTAATCACAGTAATAGGAAGAGTGTCTTGTATTAAAAATCTAAGTGTTTAGTTCCAAAGCTTGCAAAACAAAGGATGCAGTTGTTCTGCTAATAATAATAATGTGATTTAGCTTGTCAGTGTACAGTATGAACATTTCACACTTACTTCCATGAGACATTTGTCAGATTCTAATTTGTAGAGCTGCTCTTCTATGTCCTGAACCCGGTCCTCGATTCGATCCTGCTGTTTGATCAGCATTTGCTGAAATACAAAAAGATATGATTAGGGCAATACTGTTTTGATTTGACTACATTTGAATATCTGGCCATGTTCGGATGATCTGAATCGGCTGATAAATGTAATCCATTATAAATATATAAACAATTACATAAAAAACAAACAAACATACAAACAGTGAAATAATTATAAACTACCTTCCACCACAATCAACCATTTTGCAACAAACTGCTCCTAGTTTTAAAAGAATATTGTCAGTGAAGACCATGCTTGAGATGAAATAAGAATTGTCTGGAAAAAAGCAAGGTAAATGCCACATGTGATCAGAATATTTGTATATGTCCTTTCCAATCTGCAATGCAATTTGTATGCAATTATGCAAAATGTGTAAACATTATTTGAATATTTTGGACACATAAAATGCTGGCTATGAAATTACCCAAGCCAATTTCATTCCTCACTTTAAAAATTTAATTTCCACCACTGCCATTTCCAGAATATTATGAAATTACATGACCTGAGGTGGAGTGGAAATGGCAATTTGGTGAAAATGTTCATGGCTTTCAGGACAAAGGAATTTCCTCTGTATGCATGACATTGTATAATAACAAATTAGTGCACGAAATGTGCGTTTCATGAGAACTGAATGCTAAGAAGAATGATATTTAATTGGTTTCATTTGCATACTTCAAAACAACAACAACAGTTTCAAACAGCAATATTTACCAAGTGGTAAAGCAAATTAATCTTTCAGAGTTTTCAGTCACTTACATAAAAAAAAAAAAACTTACAAAATCTTATGCCATTCTAGAAGTTTAATCAGAGTCACTATTAAAAGCATGTCTTAATATCATACTGAAAAAGCAAGGAAGAATCACAAAACTACTGTAATGACATGTTTCTAAGGAAACTTGATGGGTATTTAATAAATCACAATACTCACAATGTTGCTTAATTATATATCATCAGTAAAAAGAATAAATCTACAATATTTCAAAGATCATATATAAACTATAAGCAGCTATAAAGAGAATATTCATAAAAGAATCAGTGTTCTACATGTCGAATGCTGTAATATAAATTCAGTTTGAATGATAAACTAAGAATTCTGGATACCAGAAAATCAATTTAAGTCTTATTTTATTGCTAAGACAATGACATAACAATTGAACAATCTAGTATTCTGGTTAACTAGCATATTTTAAAAACTACATAAAGAATATGAGAATGCAGCACGGAGACAAAAAGATACAAAGTCAGTTCTGTTGTGACGGCACAAATGTAACTTTGCTAACTTCCTGTTCCTTTCTTTTCAATGAATGCAACTGTCAAGGCCCCGCGGAAAAGGACTGGTGGCTGAAGAGGAATTTCAATTATTTTCCTTTCATATTCAATGGCAAACAAAGGGAAAAAAACACAATCAACAAACAACTTGCGACGTCTGACAGAAGTTCAGTGGTACCTAAGGAACAAACCAAATTATTTTTAATTAAACAAATGCCTCGTGCGAGAGGCAGTCACCAAAAAGAAGGTGGGGGTGCTGTCATGGCAACAAAGCTCTTTCTTCATATCTGTATATTCAGAGGGGAATATGAGGGAGGAAAAAGGAGGAGGAGAAGGAAAGACAGCATAGAGGAGAGCAACGAGAAAGAAGGAAGGCTCATTTCACACCGTCTTTCCCCATTTTGTCTTTGTCTGCGCGTCCAAGGCAGAGACAAATCGTGTTGACCCTGTGAGTGTGTATTTTGGAGCAAAGCTCCATAATGAATGCAGGCTAAGGCTAGCTTACAGATAAAACTGCTTCCTGTAGAAAGAGTACAAACTTCAACCACATCAAGCCACTTTATGCTCAAAAGCATAAAAAAACAGGGCTTGCGCTGCCAAAGTTGACTGAGGGCACGTCTAATTCAGTAGCATGACGTCAAATTTTAATAACCTGACATGCGGGATGAAAGATTTAACAAAACAGGTATTCTCGTACAAGCAAACGAAGTCAACTTTGGTATTTTTCTTCACACTCGAGAGTAATGCTGCTATATAATTCTGATTCATCTCAGCAAAGAGTCTACAAAGAGTAAAAAACAAAATGGGAATCAATGTCAGTCTTCAGAATGTAGCAGTACAGGACAAACACAAGACCCAGAGAGGGATGCGCTGCAAACTAATGATCTTCAATCATACCGTCTGACAGATGCTTATAACAGCTGACTGTACCCTCTGTGCCAAATGAACTACATCAATCACTGCCGATGATACGCGCAGCCAAACCTTTTCCTTTCAACAGATTTTGTTTGTTGAGCGTATGACAAATTGGATCCACAATCACATGGTACTGAGTAAACGGACTTGTTTTCGTGTATCTCGCTTGTGCATCAACCGATTTTCTTGTGGCGTAAATCCATTACCAAGATTTGGATCCAAGGAATTGGATTTGGCAGTGAATCAGACTCATACAGACCACACTAACCTCTCGACATTACCAAAAATGACACATATTTACAGTATAATGGGCAATATTAATTTTAGCACAGCAGGAGATCTATCTTGCATACATTTTTACAGCAGCAGTACATAATTTAAAGCCATATGGAGCCATATTCTCCCTATTAAGTCACTTACTGTGGTAATTTAAAGGGATAGTTCACCAAAAATAGAAATCTGGTGAAAACCTGCATCCTGAAATCCATCTTAATGGGTTTTTGTCCACACAGTGAAAGTCAGTTGGGTCCAGTTTTGTTTTGGACCCCACTGACTTTTATTGTAGAGGCAAAAAGGTTCTTCAAAATATATTATTTTTTGTTCTGCAGAAGACATGACACGATGAGGGTGAATAATTCATGACAATTTTAATTTTGGGTGAACTATCTCTTTAATCTGTGGTGAAATACTGTGAATTTGGCGAAGTGCTTCACAATAGCCAAAATATGTGCTTGGTTTCTGAAAACACAAGTTCCGAACCATCTACTCCTTTACAGATTAAATTGGTGTTTATCTACATCTACAATCAGGAACAGAAGAAAGGTCAAGAAGCAGAAAACCGCATGGAGACAGAGAATGTCTTTGAAGCTCTAGGATCTAAGACCATGGCCTAATTGTAGTGACTGATGAGCTCGGGCTGCCGGCAGAAGCCTGGAGGGTGGAACCTAATACCTCATGGCAGCGGTGCTGGCTTGCCATCCAGGACGGACCTCTCTCAAGGGGGAATGGGGGTAGGGTGCTCAAAATCACTGTCATTTCAAACCAGCGTCTCTTCCACCAAGGTCAGAGTGAACGAGGCAATAGCAACCTTGCCCTGAGCTACAGCCCCAGACAGAGCCATTTTGCCTTGTAGCAGATGAACGTGGAAGGACAAAGGGTGTCCATCAAAGATGGTAAACTTAACATTCACAAACAATGACTACCTGTGAAAAAGAGCTCTGGAAATCCCGAAACATCCCAAACGGGCATGGTTTCAGTTTCAAATAGCTTGGGCTACGACACAAGGGTTCATTTTGTAGATTGATTGGTCATTGCTAACATGTCCTGTCACAGAAATGCCTGGGATAACTGATGGCATATGATTTATATAATCAACATGAATGGAAATTATGCTGACAGCTTGCACATGAATCAAATCGGAGGTGCACTGCTTTACTTCTTACACACATAAAGCTATTGCAAAGGGGAAAAAGCTTCATATGTAACACATCCAGCACTAACTAAAGATATTTGATTTGAGATATTTGATGCAAATATAATATCTGAGCGGTTTCCATTCTGCCTATTAATTTTATTTGGTTTTAGGTTTATGAAAAGGCTATAAAACATCTAGAGCCTTGTGCAATGCTGATTATTTAAAACAAGAAAATCCAGGTTGTTTTGTTGCAGCATGCCTGGAAAATGCAAGAGGTTGTTAAGGGTGAATTAAATCCAAATCTGGCCTTTTCCCTCATCTGTGCCACAGAAAATAAGACTCATCATTACATTCTCCAGTCGCAGTCCTCCCCTCCCCAAAACGCTACGCAAGGATGCACCTGTGCTGGGAAGATAAGCCCAAAGGAGAGCTTCGGCATTGTTTGCAGCTCTACCCAATTGTTTATCATTCAAATGGAAGAAAAAAAAGGGGGGAAGGGGACAGAATAGTTAGCAACTACATCGATAAACCTCGTCGTAGTCTCCGCCAAATACAGAAGTGAACCATGACCTTTAGCTGGAGGTAAAACAACAGAATGTAGACCATAAGACAAGAAGTTGAGGCCACTTACTCTGATATCATTACGTCTGACTTCTATATCGCACACCGCGTGGCCGTGGTTGGTAGCACATCTGGAGAAACAGCAGTACTGGCAGACGGCCACATGCTCGGTTTCACAATGATATAGTCTGTACTCGTCGTGCTGTGGACAGCTCCAGGCCCGCACGTCCTCGGCATCCACCAGTAAGTGTCCAGCGTTGGAAGAGGGCTGTTGGAGATGGGTCTGTACGTGGGAATGGCAGCAGGGTGCATTGCACCTGAGGCAAACCTTCTGGGCTTGAAGCGGAGGGCCGCGTCGGCACAGAATGCAATGCAAAACCGCTGGCGTCTTCTCAACGTTTAACGCGTTAAACTTCTCCACAATGTTGGACAGTTTGTGGTTCTTCTCCAGAGCTGGTTTTTGGCTGTAGGCATGGTTGCATTCGGGACAGCGAACCATTCCTGTATCTTTAGACCAGGCCTCGTTGATACACATGCGGCAGAAGTTGTGTTTGCAAGGGAGCTGAACCGGCTCCGAGAACACGTTCAAACAAATAGGGCATATGAGCTCTTCTTCCAGACAGTTCTTCCAGTTCTCAGCCATCTTTAATGCTCACAAGTCAAGGTAAAAACTGCATAAAATAGGGTTTTCTCTGTCAATACCTGAAATGGGTGGTGTGGGAACCACAAGGACCTTGTTTTATCCCACAAACCTCAACTTTGTGCCAATGAGAGTGCGAATACTCTAGGCAAGTATACTTTGAGCACACTTTAGCTCAAGGCAACATCATTACACCACCCACTTCTTCAATGGTTCGTGTCAACTGTAGGCGTCGGCGAGAATTTTGTTGCCACAGCACTAAAGTGGACTTTTCTGTCTTGTGACTTTAAATGCCAACACACTAGTTCATATTCTACTTGTGTCGCCAATTGCTGCGCCCACTAGTTATGTACGACGACTATTAATAATCCAGTCTGCTGAAGACCAGCCTGACAGCTCCTCTTTAATAGGTAAAGACACGATGATATGCCGTATTTCGAGAACAGCTTTGAGTGAGAGACTAATAAAAGCTGTTGAAAATAAATTATTATTCTCACAAGGCTGTTGTTGTTTTTGTCCGCTGCTGTTTTGACATAGCATCACACTGACATGGATTTTATTCCCAAAGAGGATTATAATGGTTCTGCTAGATTTCTGTACAGACGTGCGTTACACTTTACATTAAAATATTCATATCGCACATCCCCGTGGCGTTATATATTTGAATTTCATAGAAAACAACGATCTTAACTAGACCAGTCGGTCAATTCTTACACATATGTGTAGACTACGCGCATCCCTCATTATAACAAAGGAACATAGAGAGAACATACACTGGTATGTAACCAAGTCTAGAGAAAACTGGACTGCCGAGTGCCTTCACTTCGATCTCTCTTCAGGCGAGGAAAAAAATCGGAAGAAGTCTTATTCCGATTACTTACACCTCCAAAAATGAACAGACAGCTCTTCAGATTTTAAAGCGAAACGGAGTGGTTCTCGCTATTGGAGTCTGTCATCTGCCATCTTGCGTCCCTCTTTAAAAATGAAAAAGAAATCGTCTCTGTTTGGCCCCCATCAAGCCTCTCTCGCTTTAGTGCTTAAAAGACATCAAAAGTGGATTACAGGCGTGCGATTCTTCGCTGCTTCCGAGTCCTATCGTTGCCGATTCCTGAGAACGTGCATCCATGGGTCGAACCTCAAAACGGGCCGATCTCACCATGGTATTATTTACGCTTTTTTCCTCTTCTCTCGTCCAGGCTTTGATGAGGGTTGGAATGCAGGGGCAGAAAAGAGAGTTTCAATACACACAGAGCTTCACACTCGCTCCTCCCCTCCCAACGACCACTCCGCCAATCACGTGACTCATCACCGCTTTGACATTCCAGAAGGAATCAAATTTTTGTTTTTATTAACGCACAGTATATAAATGAGCTTTTATATTTATTTTTCAACTTTATTTTACATTTTGTTTAATTTTTAGTCATTTTGTTTTGTGCTTTTGTCATTTTTTATTTTATTTATTATTATTATTATTTTTTACAATTTAGACTTAATTTTTTATTTTAGTTTTAATTTTGCTGTTAGTAGTGATATTTTCTGCAAGTTACGCAGCCAGCTGTGAGTGTCATTTTGTGCAGATCATTATGAGCAGATCATTCACAAGTTTTATTATTTTTTATTAACATTTGAGTGTCTACCAATCTATTGGTTCATGTTATAGCAGGAAAAACAAGAAAGCCGTCACAGGCTTCAGTGAGCAAAAATTATGATTCAGTGCTTGGAAGTGAACGAGAATGATTCATTCAAAACATTTGTTCAAATACAATGATTTGTTCATGAACAAATCATGATCCATGATCTGTTCTGAGTGATGTGAAAATAGTTTTATAGATACACAAATATGGACCCACTTTTATTAATGAGCCATATTTATCAAAAAAGCGTGTTATTTGGCGAATTTAAATTTGTTAACTGGCTGGTTTCATTTTGACTTTGCTTATCACAGAAAGATCAAACATTTCAAACCATACACAGCTCTAATTTCCCGTTACAAGGCTGCAAGGGCTGGCTTCATTGAATAGCTAACATTAGTTGTTGTTGCCCTTTTAAGAGGAGCTTCCTCATCACAAAAACATAATCAGTTCAGGGAGTGGGTGAGATGGGGGGGGGGGGTTACAGGGATTTCTTACTGGAGCTGTAATGACATGAAGTTGTTAAATTCGCTGACATAATCCAGTCCTTCCCACATAGGAAACTACTCAAATATCCGACAGGTGACGTAGAAAGTACAGGAAAAAAGAAGTCACATTTAGAATCTCTAATAAGTGTTTTTGAGTTGACGAGCAATTGCTCGTACTGTAAATGTTATTACACATGATTAGCAATCCCAATTTGCTATATCTCACAATCTTCTAGACAAAAGGACAGAAAGCTGAAAGCTCTCGAGGCTTTTTGTTCTGTATGCTGTGTGCTCATGGGAACCAATTATATAAAGTAATTTGAAACCTGCACCTAGCTAGTCATGTGGTGCCTCATTTTGTTGGATCATTCAGGTATTTTTATGCTACACCAGGTGTATACTTATTTACTGTACACGTACTGAGTAAAACCTATGATGACCAGCATGCACTTATTTATTTTCTGTTGTATTGCACATTGGTGTTGGATGAATGAATTTAATCTTGGTTTGTAGGCCTATACAAATTATTATATTTTTTTAGTTTAAAATGGGTTAATGCTGAACCAGTAACTACAAATTTGTCTCAAAGCATTCATTTAGCAAAGACAAGAACATCACATTACTATTATAAAACATTTATTTGCAAACAAAATTATTTGAACAATGGGCAAAAGCACTAAAATGACTCATACATCCTAAGCCACAGCTCAGCCTCTGACACATTTGTGTAAAAGCTTGAACATTTTCTAACATAACTGAAATGTTTCCTACAATAAATAACCATGAAATATGAATAAAATATCAGATGCTCATTGTGCCCCAACCAGTAGTTGACAACCAGTAAAAAACTAACCATTTAAAGCCTAAAATATTAAGACATTTCTTCTTAATTAATTTTTTTGCAATGATCATACAGGAAATGCAATTTCACGAATGTGTCAAAAATGGTGTTTTTACTACAAGTTAAGAATATAAATTTGGCAATACAAATTTTAATTTGGAAAACTCTTGTACAAAACTATTTCTATAACTTTGAGAAGTCAATTTGTATTTTAACATCAGACTGGCCAAGGAATTAATTACCATCTTGACAACTCTGCCTCTAAAACACAAAAATAAAGTCAAATTGGACATTTGGTACAAAAATAAGTTTGTTATACATGCTAGTACAACACACAGTCTGCATTTACGTTCATGTGAACTGTAATATTCATACATTTTCAGTAATAATAATCATCGATAGCAATGAGTAACTGAATGAATTTCAAAAAGTTATATAAAACAGATGTTACTGGCCACAAAACAGCTTCAACATTTGGCTGAATTACAAAGACAATGTAAGTCCTGACAGTATAAAAGAAAACACCACTGATATGCATGCAATTCCATATCATGTATCCCTGGAATGCTGTTGAACTTACAGTAAACATGCCCTTTCTCAGAACACAGTGTATTTTTTCACATAAAGTTAAAACACACAGGCAAGGGAGATGTGATTGGATTTGGCTTGATTATAAACCCATATAACTATACACTGAAACGTCAGAACAGGAGGTTTGGGGGCAGTACTGTTCAATATGGTCCCAAACCACTAGATTGGTTTAACTGTCCATTCATTTTTGGTCACATACTCATTATAAATACCTAACATTTAGCAAACATAGCAAATTAAGGCAGGTTTCAATTATATGGGACCATACATTCTGTCTTAAGTGTCTCTTGCAGTATTTGACGTCACCATTCTCCATTCAGGGTCTGTTGGCAGCACGCCTGGTCTTGGGGAATGTCCACGACTCATCTTTCTTTCCTCTTCCCATGCATACAAGAACATTAGATAGCCTTGACATCAATGAGGTGGCTATGTTGGGCACCTTGCCTTAGAGTCTTGATGTTTCGTAGTCTTTGCCCATGCAGAGTGAAGCGAGACCACGCCAGCAGCTGCAGAAGGGCACAGGAAATGGGCACGAACACCAGCAGGTAAAAACAACCCTGACGCAGTGGCACAGGGACCGCAGGAGCGGCAATCGGTGCTTCTGCCATTGAGTTTCTCTCAAAGATGTCATATCCTGGAAAATGATAGGGAATGATGAGACACAAATGCACTTTTAGAATCCTGAAACAAATGTTATCATGGTTTCCACAAAAATAAGAAGCAGCGCAGCAGTTTTCAACACTGATAGGAATAAGAAATGTTTCTTGAGCAACAAATCAGCATATTAGAATTATTTTTTTGAAGGATCATGTGACACTGAAGACTGGAGTAATGAGGCTGAAAATTCAGCTTTGCCATCACAGTAATATATTGCATAAAAAAATATATTAAAATAGAAAAATTAGAAAAAACTGGAATAATATTACTGTTTTTACTATAGATTTAATCAAATAAATGCAGCCTTGGGGAGCCCAAAAAATCTTACCAACCCCAAACCTTTAAACAGTAGTGTAATAATTTCAATTTAAACCTAACAAACTGCTTTTTGTGAATTTTGTTCTTGCTTATACTACAGTTATGTAAAATAAATGCAATTTGGTTTAATATTTTGTTTACATGCATGCTTTAAAATACATTTTTGTGGCCAATCTAATATTTTTGTATAAAAAAAAACTTTACTAAAATAATTTTATATACTATATATATATATATATATATATGTATATATACACACAATATATATATGTATATATATATACACACACACACACACACATGCATATAAAATTTATAAAATCAATTTAAATATATTTATATTGTGATTGTGATATATTGCATCAAATAAGAAATACAATGCAGGATGTATTAGACAGATTCTTCGTTGTTGGCTCCTGAAACATGAAACATTTGCTTCGTTTTCCCTCATTTGTAAGTCACTTTAGATAAAAGCATCTGCTAAATAATTAAATGTGAATGTTACATGTAATGCATATTTATTCACTGCACACAAACCTGTGTAGAGACACAGCAGCCAGGTACCAATAAGAGGGGCAAAGGTCTGGCCAGGCTTGGTTACCAAGGCAACCATCCCAAAGAGCAGGGCAGAAGCTGCTTGTTGTCGGCGGTTCAACACAAAGTCCTCATCCACTAAGTCTGTGATCACCAGGTTCAGAAGTTTACAAGTGCCCTCAGTGAAGACGCGATTACTGTGGAGAGATTCGAACAATGCAACAAAATAAAGACAATGCTGAGGAAAGATTGTCTAAATCTGTTCTCAGTCTAACAAGCATCCTTTTATTAATCAATTAGTGTCAACATAAATGAAAATATGATGTTTTTTGTCAAAGTTATAGACTAGCACATAAAGAAATGCACACAATCATAATAATTAAGCAATTTTACTTAAACTGTAAATAGCTAATAATTTTTAAATGGTGCTTGTTTAAATGAATAAATATTGATATTTTTAAGAGTTTGTATCATTTTGCACATTATCACCACCTAAATTATTAGTTATTTCTACAAAACCTAAGTCATTTTACTAAAATTTGTTTAAAATTGTCTAAAATGAATGAATATGACATGACAAAATATTTACTACATAATACATATAAGGACATGTAAGGATTTTCTTCAATAAAAAAATATTTTTCATGATCCAACATTCAAGATTATTTATTCTCCCTGTTTTGCAATGTCATATAGTTCACAGTAATAGTACAGGGAGGACACGTGCGTTTTCTGTCTGTTAGCATGGATAAAAGTTCTTTGTTTTAAGTCTTGAACCAACATGGATTTGCTAGCAAACAAAAGCACACCTGCTCCTTTTAAACATTCATAACGTTTTGAATTTCATATCACATAAGTGGCAGAACACCTGTAGTTTGAAAGCAGAAGGGCTCGTGGAACGTTCATTTCTCACCTAGCAATAAAGATGCAGAGCAGGTAGACGTGGTCCGCCCCGGCTAAGAGCATGACCACACTGAGGCCCAACTTCAGGAGGAAGAGCCCGCGGACAACCTGATAGACACCCAGTCTTCGGCACAGCGTCAAAAAGTAGAGATTGTTCAGATGAGGTGCAATGTAAGAAATGCCTGTCACAGGAAAATAGAATAAGAAAAAAAATAAAAATAAATCACAGTTTTCATATGTGACCTTGGACCACAAAACCAGTCTTAAGTCGCTGGGGTATATTTGTAGCAATAGCCAAAAATACATTGAATGGGTCAAAATTACCGATTTTTCTTTTATGCCAAAAGTCATTAGGATATTAAGTAAAGATTGTGTTCCATGGAGATATTTTGTACATTTATAAATATATCAAAATTTGTAAATAAATCAAAACTTAATTTTTGAATAGTAATATGCATTGCTAAGGACTTCATTTGGACAACTTTAAAGGCGATTTTTCTCAATATTTAGATGTTTTTTTGCACCCTCAGATTCCAGATTTTCAAATAGTTGTATCTCTACAAATATTGTCCTATCCTAACAAACCATACATCAATGGAAAGCTTATTTATTCAGCTCAATTAAAAAAAAATTACCCTTATGACTGGTTTTGTGGTCCAGGGTTACATATATTATTGATAATAATAAACAATGTTTCTTGAGCCCCAAGAATCATGTGACACTGCAAACTGGAGTAACGGCTGCTGAAAATTCAGTTTTGCCATCACAGGAATAAATTACATTTAACAATATATTAAAATACAAAACAGTTGTTTGAAATTGTAATAGTATTTCATAATATTACTGTTTTATTGTATTTTTGATCAAATAAATGCAGCCTTGGTGAGCATAAGAGACTTCTTTCAAAATGATTATATTACATAGCCGGCATTGTTGATGTGCTGTGTTCATGTGAATGATTTCTTTTTGTCTTACCCAGCAGGAAGGATCCGGTTGAGGCAGAGATGTGGTCTGACAGGAGGTGCTCCAAAAACAGAGGAAAGAAATTGCTGTTGAAATGGCAGTGGAATACCTGCAGATGGTGGGGTAAAGGGAAAAAAAACACATATAATTCGTTCTCTAACTGGATGATAACAGAAAACACCACTTTAGCTTTGTCTTTTGTGCATGTTTTCTCATATTTACCTGTACAAGGTTCATAGAAGCAAACCACATAAAGTTCTTGTGGCGTGACAGCTGCTTTAGATATTCCCCAAGAGTGACTGGCTTCTCGGGTGAGGTAAAAGGAGCCTGACCGACACTCAGTCTATGAGGACGACAAGGAGGATGAATAATCCAATGGGAGGCAACAAAAGAGAAAAAAAAAATGAGGGGAAAACTTATATGTGACCCTGGACCACAAAACCTTATGTCTTATGTAGCACGGGTATATTTGTAGCAATAGTCAAAAATACATTGTATGGGTCATTACCGATTTTTCTTTTATGCCAAAAATAATTACGATATCAAGTAAAGATCATGTTCCATGAAGATATTTTGTAAATTTCCTGCCGTAAATATATTAAAACTTAATTTTCGATTAGTAATATGCATAGCTAAGGACTTAATTTGGACAGCTTTAAAGGCGATTTTCTCAATATTTAGATTTTTTTGCACCCTCAGATTCCAGATTTTTAAATAGTTGTATCTCGGCCAAATATTATCCTATCCTAACAAACCATACATCAATGGAAAGCTTATTTATTTCAATTTCGAAAAACTGACCCTTATGACTGGTTTTGTGGTCCAGGGTCACATTAAGTGAAGTAAAGTAAGTAAAGTCACTGTAACACAAATGGCTTATTTCTTTAAAATGAAGTTTGTTTCAATTTTAGTATTTCAAAAGCTAGTAAGCTTGTAGTCCAGCAATTCTAGAAAAGTGCAAACAGCAAAATATATGGATAACTGAATTAGAGAAATTAAAAAATGTAAAACAAAGATTACAACAGATTTAGAGGATTCACAGCTTGAGCAATACTGTATGGGTGGAGCAAATAATACAGAACACAGCTTTCACGTTTCTTTTTTCTAAAGTTTTCAGCTGAAACTGTTATAATAATTGAATGAAATTAAATTAAATCTGATTATTTGTGTGTGTGTGTATATATATATATATATATATATATGTGACCCTGGGGCTTATTTATTCAGCTTTCAGATGATGTATAAATTTCAATTTCAAAAAATGGCCCCTTATGACTGGTTTTGTGGTCCAGGGTCACATATATAGTCATATGATGCATTATGTAAAGATGGTATAGGCTGTAATACACTAATTTTATGGTTCTTTTTTGTCCTTTTTTGTCCAAATAATCATGTAATTTTCTTTGTACAGAAAACTGAAGCTTGAATATTCTGTCTAATAACTCTTTTTATGTTTCATAGTAGAAAAGAATATAAGTTGGAAAAATATGTGGTTAAGTAAATTATGGCAAAATTATAATTTTTGGGTGAAATATTCCTTTGAGAAGCTGTGCTGGTAACACAAACACTGAATGTTCACATCCAGCGCTATCAACATTCCTCCCATGAGTGAGGCAGTTAACCCCAGGTTGCTCCATGGGGACCGGCTCTGCAATTAGTTTGGTGTAAATGACTTCAGATGAAAAGCAACTGCTAAACAACAAGTAACATTTAGCACTGCAAAACAATAACGCTCTTACTCAGTGAGTGCTTGGCTCTCGTTCTTGCGTAGCTGGACTTCGTTCTGAAAGCGGTGCTGCAGGAGACGTGAAACCACAAAAAAGCCTAGCATTGAGAGAGTGGCTAGAGTCACGCAGAAGATTCTGAAGGAGTAGAAGTTTTCCTTGTTCCAGAAGGAGTAAGAGAGGAAGACGGACAGCGAGCCCATCGCACTGAACAAGGAACTGTGGAAGTTGAGGCGCGTGCGGTCATGTGCAGACACGGCCAGGTCGGCCAGGAGGGCGTTGTGGTTGAGGTCGACCACCGTGAGGAAGCCATCGTAAAGGCACAGGCAGATGAGAAACTGCAGTCCAGGCCAGGTCCAGGCAACCCAGAAGGCCAGGAACGAGAGGGCAAAGAGAGGCCCGCTGCGGGAGAGTGCCTGCAGACGCTTCAGGACCACCTCAGGCGACGTGATCTGGGACCCAGACCTGAACAGTCAAACAAAGATTTAAATGAGACATGTACCTACCGAAATATGGATTTCCAATTTGAAGAGAGTGAATAATCTTACTGAGGAGAGCCCAGGAATGAGCGGTCACTCAGCCAGCCAAAAAGAGGGTCGTTCAGGCTATTCCATATTAGAAACACAGTCTATGAAAAAGAAACAATATAACAAACAGAAAAGAAAATGCTAAAAACATCTGCATTTTAGTCAAATATAATGAATAAGCATTTCAAATAATCATTGTATATATTGAACAATTCCAACATTTGGGGTCTGGTATTTTTTTTATATTCTCATATTCTCACCAAGGCTGCATTTATTTGATCAAGAATACAGTAAAATAGAAATATTTAGAAAAATTATTACAATTTGAAATAACTGCTTTCTATTTTTATATATTTTAAAATGTACTTTATTCCTGTGATGGCAAAGCTGAATTTTCAGCATTATTACCCCAGTCTTCAGTGTCACATGATCTTTCAGAAATTATTCTAAAATGCTGATTTGGTGTTCAAGTAACATTTCTTATTATTATCCATATTAAAAGCAATTGTTAAAAACATTTTAACCATCACTTTTGATGAATTTAATTAATTAATCGTTGCTCAATAAAAGTCTTATTTCTTTTTTAAAAAAAATCTTAGTGACCCCAAACTTTGGAATGGCAAACATTTAAAAATATATATAATTTTTATCATTTTTGTAAAAAAAAAAAAAAAAAAATCTTACAGACACAATTATGTATTGTTTTTTTTTTTTTTACAAATAATAATTTAAGAATCTTAGGTAATTGAAGATACCATTAAATAAACCTAAAAAATATATAATTTTTATCATTTTTTGTAAAAAAAAAAAAAAAAAATCTTACAGACACAATTATGTATTGTTTTTTTTTTTTTTACAAATAATAATTTAAGAATCTTAGGTAATTGAAGATACCATTAAATAAACCTACCTCTCCCACCCAAAACGACAACTTGTCAATCTTGTAAACAGACACAAAGGTCTCCACATAATACAGTAAGAAGACATTGTGGAGAATGGAGACGAACAGAGCCAGGGAGCCATAAAGCACAGCCGTTGAGACGCACTGGCAGAGGCCCCATACCCTCCTTCCCATCCTTTGCTACTTCTCTCCGCTCTTCCTGCCCAAGCAGCGCTCTACACGTCCCACAGGCCGGGCCGGGTGGGCTCATCTCTCTATCCACCCCTGCAAACAGACAGACACCAACACAAACCAACCAGTTCATAACCATGCAGTCTATTATTCTGTATGTGAGTCGGGGTAATGTCTGTCGGCTGTTTTTAGACTGGAAATTACCATTACTTGAATTAGTTCAGGGAGCGTAACTGGACAATAGCCAAGCCAATGAGAAAACTGAGCATCTGTATTGCATTATCAAGCAGCTTTTGCTTTGTTTTAATGATTCAGCACTTTGCTCGATATGAATCTGTAAAAACAAGCTAAAGCCAGACAAGACGGAAACCTTCTGAGCTAAAATAATAATAATGTCGGGGAAAGTTAGGGGGAAAACATCACCAAAGATGCTTAATCAACTTTTACAAGGTTAGTCAAGCAAATTATGTTTTTTTGGTATGAAATTCTAAAACATATTTAATTTGTTTCAAAACAAGTCTATTCTCAAATCAAAAATGAATCAGAAAATACCACTATAAAAAATAGGCTCTCTCTTAAAAGCGGCTTCCTTATTTTTCCATGGAGAGTGTTATGGGGAATTTGGGAAGGAGGCAGCCCATTTTCCATATTCATAATAACAAAAACAGCCTGGACTTCTTTATAGAGTGTCATGTGAGCAGTTCTTCAGTACTTTCCAGTCACACCTCCATATTGTGCCTGTAAAACCATATCTAGCAGAAAAATCACCATAAATCCCACTGAGAAGTGTAATTGCACATGAACTTTAGATTTGAATGAGCTGGATGATCTCATCCCAGCTTCAACGATGACAAGAGCAAACATTGTTATTCAGTCCAGAGATTTCTCTGGGGTCTGATGAGACGAGAGATGTAACCTGAGCAGCATTAGTGTAGGCTGAGGCCTGCGATTCCTATCAAATATTGAACACTTTCCAATAGTAGGGTGGAGCAGACAGTGAATCCTTTATTTCTTTAACATTGGACATCCGTGACAACCTTTCGCAAATATCACCAACCTCAACCTGGCACACATGGCAGAGCAAAAAGCAAATTACAATGCTTTCTGGCTGGCACACCTGATGTTCACATGCTTTGCAAGCTCACACAAGTCCTGGGATTCTTTGAAAATACCCCCCTCTTATAGTTAAAACAACTTTAAAATAACCTTGCCCCCCAGCTCTTTGAGAGAACAATGAATTACAGTTCTGCACAGTTTAAGTACCCTAAACATATGAGTGAACTTGTTACTCCAGGCTTGATTTCCATCTGATCTAAGCAGTGAAGCAAAACACACTTCACTGGATCGCGTTGCATGCAGTGATTCTCATCTCATCTCATTTCTAAAGGACAGGTGGCTGCTTCCCAGCCGATATGATTCAGCAATCTTTGATCCAACAAGAGATCAAGTGCCACGGAGCAAAAGACCAACGTTTTGGCAGCGCTGTGTTACAGTGACAGGTTGTCCACCTGTGTCTGTACTTCAGAGCAACAGGATGCGTGGGAACTATTCTCACATAGATGGAAGAGTCATTTATTTGACCGAAACATCAAACATTCACACCAGGGCTCGCAAAATTTCAAAATCCCTGGTAGCCCTTCGGGCAGGTACTCTTCAGATTTTGGCAGCCCGAAAATGTATTTAACTAGCCCAAAAAATATATTTTTTTCTTTAAATATAGAAAATCAGATAGGAGTTTAAATGTCAATCAAAAATATTTTCAATACACAAATATCAACAAATATGAAGGAAGGAATTTTATTTCACTATTTACAGGGTATCTGCAGAATTTTTAAAAATACATTTAAGGTATTTTTACATACATACAGGTATTCAAGGGCAGGCTTTAAGATGGTTTAGATCCTACCTGTCCGATCGCTACCACCTTGTTCATTTATATGGGGAGTCGTCTCAATTACCACCAGTAAAATATGGAGTGCCACAAGGATCTGTCCTAGGTCCTCTGCTATTTTCGATATACATGTTGCCCCTTGGTAATATTATTAAAAAATACGGGATTAGTTTCCACTGTTATGCTGATGATACTCAACTATATATCTCAACAAGACCAGATGAAACTTGTAAATTATCTAAGCTAACAGAGTGTGTTAAAAATGTAAAAGATTGGATGACCAATAATTTTCTCCTATTAAATTCGGATAAGACAGAGATATTACTTATTGGACCAAAAGACAGTACACCGAATCTCGTGGATTACAGTTTGCAACTAGACGGATGTACGGTTACTTCCTCTACAGTCAAAAATCTGGGTGTTATATTAGATAGCAACTTGTCTTTTGAAAATCATATTTACCATGTTACAAAAACAGCATTCTTCCATCTTAGAAGAGACTATTTAAACTGAACTGAGCTGGATGATGACATCACTGAATTCAATGATGAACTGTCTTTAACTGAAAAATGAGTGTTTACTATTGTCATTTTGCATTATTGACACACTATTTTCCTAATTAATGCTGTTCAGTTGCTTTGACAATCTGTATTGTTAAAAGCGCTATATAAATAAAGGTGACTTGACTTTACTTGACATTTAAGGCGATTTATGACCCATTTTAAGAGCTGCACAAGTAAAATGAACACAGTATGAGTGGGTTGGTCTATGGTAACATACAGTATTGAGCCATAAAATTACATGATTTTGATGACAGTCAGATACAGGTTTTCACAAAAACAAAAATCTTATACAACAGCATTTCAGCCTTTAGACCATTTTTATGAAAAGGGATAAATCAAGCATATAAATTATTATGTCAATTTAAAACGTATAAATATTACTGTCTTAATTGTTTAGATTTTTAGAAGGCACCTTTTAGAAACTATGTGTTTGCTGCGTAAAAACTTGAGTTGATATTTGCATTGATCTGACCATAAACAGCAAGAAAGGCTTATTGGAAATGCAAATTCATTCTCTGCCACGAGGTGGCGCTTTAGGAGCGCTGAAATATTGCGGTTTCCCCGGTAACGACTGTGTACACAAAGCAGCTCCGCGCTCATAAACGCTGCTTTATCAGGAATTATAGGTCAAATGAAATTAAAATGCCAAAGACATGTTACTGAGGACAGTGGGTTCCCTTCAGATACATTCAAATAAAGACATCTGTGCCGCGTTTTGACTTGAAACCTGTTTTTATACAGTCTATGCTTGAAACGTGCAGGGCTCATATTTATGAATATTTAAGAAGATATTTTGAAGAACCAAACAGTTGTTGGTCCCCACTGACTTTCTTAGTAGCGAAAGAAATACTATGGAAGTCAATGGGGACCAACAACTGTTTGGTTACCAGCATTCTTCAAAATATCTTCTTTTGTATTCAACATAAGAAAGAAACTCATACAGGTTTGGAACGACATGAGGGTGAGTAAATTATGACAAAATTTTCATTTTTGGGTGACCTATCCCTTTAAGATAGCCCGTCGGGCAGAGTGTTGATACATTTTGGAAGCCCGACTGGAAAACACAATAGCCCCGGGATGTCGGCCTAGCGATTTTGCGAGCCCTGCACACCCTTTTTACACAAATGCTTTAACACCTATACCGTAAAACCAATAGCTAAATAGCTTTCACAGAACTCTGTTTTTCTGTATTGTTTTCAGTCAGAAGAAAGATGATAAGTTCCGTAGCAAAGTTAGAATAACCATTAGGGCCACGTAGGATATATATATATATATATATATATATATATGAAATTAAATGTAATATTTACATATATAAAAAAATTAATGTCACATATTATTTGTCATACCCTATAATTGAGTAGAATGAAGCCTTTTTTTAATGTCATCAGAACATTGACACTATTTAATGTATATTTATTCATTCAAGGGCACAACAATTCATTTAGAATCATACAATTTCTTAATTACTTAATATTGCCATATATTAAAAAAATACATGCCACACATATTATTTGTCATAAGCTATAATTGAGTAGAATGATGCCTCTTCTAATTTCTTTGGAACAGTGACACTTTATGTATATTTATTAATTCAAGGGCACAATAATTCATTTAAAATTACATAAATAATTCCACAATTATTTCATATTGCCATATATAAAAAAAATACAAGTAACCTATTTGTATTATTTGTCATAATCTATAATTGAGTAGAATGAGGCCTTTTTTTAATTTCTTTGGAACACTGACACTTTTTGTATATTTATTAATTCAAGGGCACAATAATTCATTTAAAATTCCATAAATAACACCACCACTATTTTATATTTCCATATATATAAAAAAACAGGTCACATTTTTATTATTTGTTATAACCTATAATTAAGTAGAACTAAGCATTTCCTTGTTAAATAATATCTATTTTAAGTTGTTCACCAAAATATGTGTTTTATTATTTTACATTAACGATAATTATAACATTAATCTATCATATATGCATGCAACTCATATCGCAGGTACTGCATCTTCTCCTAATAAACAATTACCCCTGAAGCATTATTAAAAGAGCCATTGATCACACTATCGGACTCCTGACACCTGTAAGTAAATATTTAATATATACATAAATATATTACCGATTCAAAACACTTCAAACACAGAGCTGTTTAAAAAGGGAAACTGAAAACGTTGGAATGGTTGCTTCAACTCGACGATTATGCTTCGATATTTCATTTAATATTCCTGCACATAATTGTTTAAAAACACATTCCATAACCGAATGTTTCCGCCTCGAATGATACGTTGTTACATTTTCACTACGATAATGATACAATATTTACTAGCAGAGCTGTGCTAGCCGCTGACATTGGCGACTTTACTCATAGTAACTCATCATAGTGTTTGAATTTGACCAGAGAATCACATTATAGCTGAAGGAAAATCACTCATATTTGATCAAACTATGAATTCGAGCCGCGACGTGACACTTTAAACCTAAAATAACCTTTTAAACTACTAATCCTGCTCTAAGTTAAGCTCGCTAGCAGGCTATCCGCTTTCATATCAAGCAATGCGACGTGTACCAAGTCACAGCCCTTAGACGAACCCACTCAACCAGCTGATCAGAAAACATACGAACAGTCGATTCTGAGAATATTTAGGCTGTTAGACACTTACCATGTGAAGCTGATATCAAAGCTGCAATCACCTGATGATCAAGACAGGCGCTGTAAACGTTTCTAGGTTTCACAGTTGTATCGAAACATGTCATGTGTAGGACGAGGAAGTCTTCCCTCCTCCTCCTCCTCATCACTCCAGCTGCCAACTGTACACATACAGACAGGCACACACTTATTTAGTAACCTGAGAATATTGATACTACGTTGTTGTGTCCATTTAAATTGCACATTAATTTGACTAGCAGTAAAGTCTGTAAAATAAATGAGGAAATGCATGAATGCACTATTCCAAAGCTCTACACAAGCTGATAATGGGCACGTTTTCTTATTGTATGGACATGTGAGCAACTAAAGCTAATTTTGGTTACACTTTATTTTAAGGTGTCCTTGTTACAGTGTAATTATACATTTAAGTACTGAGTCATATTAATTAACTACATGTACTTACTATATGGTTAGTGTTAGGATTAGGGGTTGGCTTAAGGTTACTTGCATGTAATTTTGCATATATAATTGTTATTATAATAGTAAGTACATGTAATATGTGTAACAAGGACACCTTAAAATAAAGTGTTACCCTATTTTTTTATTTACATAATAAGAAAGCAAGTAAGTCCATTTGTAAGACCATTAATATATTTACATAATGTTTAAGCCCCCCCCCCCGGCTGTATTTGTATTTTGTATACATATTATTTTTTGTTTGTATTTTATGTTTTCATGTGTATTATTGTAGTCCTAACTGTACTTTGACTGTGTTTTTTGAAGTTTAATTAAAAAGAAAGAAAGCTAAAGCTCAGGCCTTACAGAGGCCTATTTCAGCCAAACCAAATTATATTTAAATTATATTGTATACTGATAAATTATCGTCATCATATACAGTATTCATTTCAATTAAACTATGAATTTAGCTTTGTATTGTAGTATACAGAATAGCAACATATACTTTAAAGTCTTGACTAAAAAAAATATATATATTTTGTCATATTATTTGGGATTTTTATGGGAAACCGTAAAAAAAATACCATAAATATGAAGAAAATAGAGTAAGACATCTTCCACATGAAAATGTAGGCCTATGTATTATTTATGAAATGTATGTATTATTCCACAATATTTAAAATTATATGCCATAGTAAAATGTAAACACTTGAAACAATTCCAAAACAGCAACACTAGAAAATTTTTTTATAAATACATTGTGGACAACAGCAATTATTAATTACAATTTTACCATATGAAAGCACTTGACATTTATGGAAATATACCCTTCTCCTGAGATTAACTTTTCACGTAAAATCTATCTATTGTGTTATTTTTTTTTATCCAACATATAGCCTATTGCACAAATAAGATTGTATTATTTTAGAGGACATTGATATTATTTTATAGAGGACTTTTTTTGTTTAGAGGACAAGAAAATCGAATCTAACTTTAATTTAAAATAAAAAAAAAAACACTGCTAGAAAAAACAAGTAATGACTTGTTATAGTTACTGAAATACAGCTCTTAGTTCCTGCCTCCCATGTGACAACTAGCCCCGGCGTGCCCTACATGCTGCATTATTAATATTAACCTCTAGATGGCAACCAATACAAATGAAGCGGCTGAATCCGTGTAGCAACGATCGCACATTTACCCCTCCATCCCTGATGAATGCAAATCCGTTGCATTCTCAAAAAAAAGGTTTATAAATCTAAAATAAACTAAACCTATCCATTAGAGAAGTGACATTGCGACACAAAGTGGGGGGCGTGGTCTCTCATGAATATTAGCTAGAGAGGCGTGGTTTGGTTTCACCTGAGACTGCTCTGAGGAGCGTGCAGCATGCAGCGCAGTACACACAGTCAGATCTCTGGAGCAGAGGCATCATTAGCAGCACAACAGGGAATCCAATGGAAACACAGGATGACTGATGCTTACTTTTTCTGAAACAGTCAGGTAATTTAACTACAGAGTTTGTGATATATCCTTGACATTTTGCATGCGCTTTTTTATTAAATCTGTGTAGTTATCATTAGTAGGTAGGCTATCTTTGCGCATAATCTGTTGTAATGCAAGCGGAGCCTGCTGGGATCTCTACACGCAGGTGAAGGTGACTGGGAATGAGTGCCAGAAGTGTCCTTTAAAAATACCGCAGTGGTGTGCAATCTGATGTAGACCACACGCAGACACAAACTCTTTTTATAATGATCATGAAAGTCGAGTGAATATCTATCTATCTATCTATCTATCTATCTATCTATCTATCTATCTATCTATCCAGTAAATTTGTTTTGCAGGTGTATGCTTTGCACTAATAAATCTGGTGCTATGAGACCTGATTTGTATGAAGTGAACGGTTCTGAGTGATTTATCGGAGGCATCAGAGATATCAGTTTGAGCTTCTCTTTTTTTCTGGAAGTTGACCATGGGGTGAAAAATGCATATAATTAAAATTTGCTTCAATGTAGCATTTTTATTAGCAAGTCTACTTATAAATATAAAACTTATTCGATACAACCCTGCTAAATTAATATTAATTATTTATACAATTTAGACTTAATAAATTGTTAGCATGCATTTGATCTGTGCTGTATTTAGTTGGACCAGAGGTTGGATTAATACTGTTTATGTCCTTTTTGCCTGCGCTGGATTAAATGATTATTTTGAATATACTTTCTAATAATACAAGTAAAATTGCATATCTGTGCCAGAGAATGGTAGAAGGAGTGAGTAGTATTTATTTCTGTAACTAAAAGATGCATTTAGAAATTTCAGACAGAAAATCAGCCTTGAATAACTAATGGAACTTTGGGGAGGGGGATTAGTCCATGTCATCAGAAGTGAATGCACAGTTGTCTTGTTCTTTTGAGGGTTCTCTTAACTCTTATAGGCAATACTTTGACAAACAAACCATGAAAGCGTCTTCAGAAACAGTGCCATTGTTATTTGATTTAATTAACCCAAGTAAGACAGATAATGTGCTTATTAATGGCTTCAAAGTAACAGTAACTTGGTCTAACAGTAATCTTGTCTCTAACGCACTCAGAAGGTCTAATGCATTCTTGAATGGTTCATTCTTTCCATTACGTCAAATCAAACATGCTATTTTACTTATCTCAGCATACATGAGAAACCTATTGTACAGCTTTTGTAGGGGAATTAGTTATAATGTCTGATGGAATGGATGCATGAACTATTTTGACATGCATAATTATAAGTAGCGTTTCAGGAAGCAGTAATCAGTATTGGAAATTAGACTTGAAAATTCTCATTAAGTCAAAATCTCTCATGACTCTTTCAGTGCAGCTAAACTAGATTAAGTGCAGATGGAGAATTAGTGAGATATGCCATAACATCCCACATTTGGGTGATTAGAGGTATTTCTTCACCATCTGTGGAAATGTCAGACTGGAAATATATTATTTATATTGTTCAACTGACAGATGGCTATATCAAAAATGATTCCTTTACGACTCTCTGTGCTTGATGCTTCTGTATGTACTATCTACAGTATATAGTGTATTATATGCAGGCAGGCAAATTTGCTTATCCAGCCTGTGATGTGATCAGGTTGACGTGTCTCTTGTCCATACTACCCCGAGCAGGGTGCTTATTGTAACAGGAGAGGTGTTAATGCTTATGTGTTTATGGTACAGTATATGTCTGAATAGATGAATTGATATGCATTAACCCAGCAGCTTTCCACTGAGGTACAAGAAATTGGAGCAAAGCAAAACCATTTATATTCACTTCAATGGGGTATATAGTGGCTGCATCTATTGTATCTATATCCACTGCATCCATATCCATTTCACCATCACATAATGGTGTTTCTAGACAACAAACACATTTAAGCGATACCTCATAATATACAAAAACATTTTGTGACTCTAAGTGTTTTGAAATAAGGTTTTCTCACTATAAAGTGAATCAAAAGCTACAAAAATCACTTTTGAGGCAGTTCTCCAGAGCCCAAAAAAAATCCTCCACATAGTGCATCATGCCAGAAAAAAATATATATTTTGAAGGAATAGTTTACCAAAATATTAAAATATGCTGAACACTCAGGCCATCCAAGATGTAAATGAGTTGGTTTCTTCATCAGAACAGTTTTGAAATTTAGCATTACATCAGTTGCTCACCAATGGATCCTCTGCAGTGAATGGGTGCCGTCAGAATGAGAGTCCAAACAGCCTATAAAAATATCACAGTAATTCATAAGCAATCCACATGACTCCAGTTCATCAATTAGCATCTTGTGAAGTGAAAAGGTGCGTGTTCGAAGTAAACAAATCCATCATTAGTATGTTTTAACTTTGAACCATCGCTTCTGGCTGAAATGTATATAGAAATTCCATAATCCATAATAGCAGTAGCAGTGAAAAAGTCCATCCCCTGTTGTCCTCTCACATCACAATCCATCTATTTAGAACTGTTTTGAACAGTTTTTGCTTGTAAATTCTGCATGATCTGTGCATATTTCTCTCCTGATTCAGACAAGACTACTTTTTTGATAAAGAAATCAATGTTATGGATAGAGGACTCATATTTTGACCAGAAGCAACGTTAAAATCATCTTGATAGATTTGTTTATTTATTGCAAAACTGCAGTTTGTGGATTGTGATCACCTGTTTGGACTTTCATTCTGACGGCACCCATTCACAGCAGAGGATCCATTGGTGAGTAAGTGATGTAATGCAAAATTTCTCTAAATCTGTTCAGATGAAAAAACAATCTCATCTACATCTTGGATGGCACGGGGATGAGTACATTTTCAGCAATTTTTCTGTTGAAAATGACTGACTAGACCTCAGCGTGACCAAGCAAAAGCTTTGTTTTGTTTTTTTCAAGGTCAGCTCTTTAATATTAACCATTTATTGCCATATTTTAACCATATAATTAATAATAAAGTGGAGTTTGTTTCTTTTTTGATACGCTTTTATCTAATGTTTTTGTAAGTATTTTATCAGGTTGTGTTCTTCCTGAGAAACAAGCACCATGCTGTACCAGCTACAGGAATTTTAATTGTTTTGCACATTTTTATGCGATTGCCTGAGGCTTTTTCATATCTCTGTGTAGTTTGATAATAGCATTTGATACAGTAGATGTACACTGCACTATGAAATGTTGAGTGGATGCATTTGTGTA